GAAACAGGTCACAAATGACAGAAATGGAGGAAAGCAAAGGACTGGATATAGAGTTCAAAACCACGTTTATAAGGTTTTTCAAGAATTTTATGGAAACCGCCGATAAATTTAGTGAGACCCTGGAGGATATGAAAAAAGACCAACTAGAAATTAAGCATATACTGACTGAAATAAAGAATAATATACAGAGATCCAACAGCAGACAAGAGGATCCCAAGAATCAAGTCAAAGAGTTGAAATACGAAGAAACAAAAAATACCCAACCGAAAAAGAAAAAAGAATCCAAAAATATGAAGATAGTGTAAGGAGCCTCTGGGACAACTTCAAGCGTACCAACATCAGAATTATGGGGGTACCAGAAGAAGAGAGAGGGCAAGATATTGAAAACCTATCTGAAGAAATAATGACCGAAAACTTCCCCTACCTGGTGAAAGAAATAGAATTACAAGTCCAGGAAGCGCAGAGAACCCCAAACAAAAGGAACCCAAAGAGGACCACACCAGGACACATCATAATTAAAATGCCAAGAGCAAAAGACAAAGAGAGAATCTTAAAAGCAGCAAGAGAAAGAAACTCAGTTACCTACAAGGGAATACCCATACGACTGTCAGCAGATTTCTCAACAGAAACCATGCAGGCCAGAAGAGAGTGGCAAGAAATATTCAAAGTGATGAATAGCAAGAACCTACAACCAAGATTACTTTATCCAGCAAAGCTATCATTCAGAACTGAAGGTCAGATAAAGACCTTCACAGATTAGAAAAAGCTAAAGGAGTTCATCACCACCAAACCAGCATTATATGAAATGCTGAAAGGTATTCTTTAAGAAGAGGAAGAAGAAAAAGGAACTCTTACCATTTGCCACAGCATGGATGGAACTGGAGAGCGGATAAATACCACATGATCTCACTCATTTGTGGAATATAATGAACAACATAAACTGATGAACAAGGACTGATCCAAAGACAGAGAGACATTGATTGGACTGTTGGGCCTTGGAGGGTAGGTAGGGGAGGGTAGGGGGAAGGGGGAAAGATCAACCAAAGGACTTATATGCAAGCATATAGGCCTAACCAATGGACACGGACAATGGGGAAGGTGAGGGCATGAGCGGGGGGAGGGGGGGTAGGGGTCAATGTGGGGATAAGGACACATATGTAATATCTTAATCAATAAAAAATATATTTAAAAAATAATAATAATAAAAAGCCAACATATGTTTTATTATGTGACAATATATTGCTTATGTGCTAAATATATATACATACCAATGTATGTACATATATAGTTAGAATACATATTTAACTCTCAAAAAGAGTCTATGATAAAGGTATTATTAATACCATCATCCCATCATCTCTACTATGTAGATAAGAAAACTGAGGTGCAGAGAGCAGAGAAGTTTAGGAACTTCCCCAAGGTCAACTACCCAGGCAGTCTGGTACCAATCATGCTGTTAACTACTGCATTGACCTTATAGTATTTCCCTTGGATTCATCAACATTCCAAGATCATACACACTGCCAACTAATATGTTTTTAAAGAAAATTTTTAAAATTGGGGGCGGGGGGAATGCTGTCTTTGGATATCTCTGAAAATGGAAATCATTGTGACTCTCATTGCCATAGGAATATGCAACAGACTGAGAACTTTCCTGGAGAATGAATGAGGAAATTCTCCCTTCTACTGCATTTCCAACTCTTATCATATCCAGATTAGACAAAGCAGCAAGAAAACCATTCCAGCCTCACAATATCAGCCAAGGAAAATCATCCTCAGGACCAGCTGCCAGCAGCATGCCCTTCAGTGTTTGGCCAGGCTGCCAAGGCCCAGCTGTTCTGTCAGCCTTCCTTATACAGTTTGTTGACAAAGAAGAGGCCCAGTTAATTTTTCAAACCAGATATGTGAGCTGAAACTGATTCACCTGCAAACACATGAATTACTTCTAGGAATGCAGAAATGATAATACTGAAACAATAAATTTTTGTTAAGATCAGAGCACAATGAAATGTTTCCAAAAATGGAATTGCTTTGGAAAAATAAGGCAACATTAGTCCTTTGCATCAGAACTTATTTTGGGTTGGCTAGAGATCAAAGAATGCACTTCATCATGAAATGGAAGCTGTATGAATAAAATAACAAATTTCTAATATTAAGGGAAGATAAGGATGGAGATAGAAAGAGCAGAACAGCTGGGATGACTTAAAAACAGATAAGAAGTTGCATTTTTATGTAAAATTTGGAGTTTAGAAGGTACAGAATTTCAGTAAATAATGGAGCATAAGGAATAATGGAGCATAATGAATCTTCTCTTGCCATAAGTTGCAAGAGAAGCTGACTTTAATCCCAAATTTTTTATTCTAAAATTTTTGTTCTATGTATATAAGCACAAAAATTATAATCAAATTATAAGTACACTAAATTTTCTTTGAGATAATATTCTTTAGTTAATTCTATGTTTTCGTTTGCTTTTTAAATTTGCATCAGTTCATTTATTGCTATTTTAAATATCATTTTTTCATACTCTAATGTATAAAACTATAAGAATATTAAGAATATTAAAAGAATAATCATGCAAGTAGCTATATTTAATAAATATATCTTTTCTGGACATTGGGCAGATCTACTTTGTACAATGCACCATTACCACTTACAATATAGAATACTCAATAAATATGTGAGTAAGGCTGGTGGTTTTTTTAATGTATAATATTTGATATGTTACATTTGAAATATGTATATAAATGAATTATTTTACACATATAATGCTACCAATTTTATTGAGAAATTTCATGAACTTTGCTCATATTAAGTTATAAAATGTTCAAACAAAAACATGTAGAAAAGCTTCATTGAGAAATACAAATTTATGTCTTAAATGCTTATACATATTATGAATTTGTTTTTAGTGAAAAGATGTATTTTTATTATTTTTAAAATTTAACTCTATTGTTGAAAGTATTATAGATGCCCTTTTTTTTCCCAATTGACCTCCTTCACTCTGCTCCCTAAATTTTAATAAAAACTTTTCACTGGCTTCCATTGTTTTCTCTATTCATTTAAAAATAAGAATGCTTTACATATCAGTTCTTTGTCTATATCAAGTTTTAACAATTATCACTTCAGTCCTTATGTGTCCAGGTTGGCAATTTTTTTCTACCAAGTCTGATTATAATGGGTCAAATTTGTAGAAATCAATTTTATTAAGTCAATTTCATTCTTTAATCAATTTTCAGTTAATAGTAAATTTCAATTTTAGCCATAATGAGTCACAATATTTTTAATATTTTTTGTTATTTCCCAGACTAGAGGCCCGGTGCACAAAATTCATGCATGGGGGGTTTGTTCCTCAGCCCAGCCTGCACTCTCTTCGATCTGGGACCCCCCGAGGAATGTCCAACTGTGTGTTTAGGCCCGATCCCACCAGGTAGTCAGACATCCCTCTCACAATCCAGGACTGCTGGCTCCCAACTGCTCACCTGCCTGCCAGCCTGATCACCTCCTAACCACTCCCCTGCCAGCCTGCCTGATCACCCCCTAACCACTCCCCTGCTAGCCTGATTGACATCTAACTGCTCCCTTGCTGGCCTGATCGCCCCCAACTGTCCTCCCCTTCTGGCCTGGTCACCCCTAACTGCCCTTCCTTGCAGGCCTGGTCCTTCCCAACTGCCCTCCCCTGCTGGCCTGATTGCCCACAACTGCCGGCTATCTTGTGTCCACATGGGGGTGGCCATCTTGTGTTGGAGTGATGGTCAATTTGCATATTACCTCTTTATTATATAGGATTACTTTTATGGTTTTCCATATTATTAACAATATGAGTTTTACAAGACATATTTTACCATTTTAGTTTTAAGTATAGTTATCTCTATCAATCTATTCATTCTTAGAAGTTCATATGCTAATTTTTATTTTTTCTTCAGGGTCAAAATGATAGCATCATAACATCCTTGAGCATTAAGCATTAAGGAAGGCAGGAGCAAAAGACAAGCTTAAAATGATGGGTCATGAAATCTCCACATTGCTCTTTTTTAATTGAATTTATTTGGAGTAACAGTGGCCAATAAAACTATAGTTTTCAGAGTTGCAATTCTACAATACATCATCTGTGTTGGGATACAACATATTGTATCTATGCCCATCACCCCAAGTTCAAATCTCCTTCCATCACCATTTATCCCCCCTTTCACATTGCTCTTTACTTTCCCCTATATAGTTGTATTAGCTGGTTTTTTTTTCTCTGTAACACATAAACTTAAAACATGTAACTTTTTCTACCAAATAAGACGTTATATCATAGTGTTTGTGTTGATTACCAATGTTCATTTTGTACTAGTCAGGTTAAATATATCACAATAAAAATGGTCAATTAATGAGTAAAACATCCTGAATATTCTGTATCCGAGGTAAATTTTTACATTATAGATGCATAACCTACTATATTCTCTTATAGCTAACCCTGTCTCTCACTTCTAAAAGGCTTTCCTTTGCTCATTGTTTCTAACTGTAGTGCCCTTTGAAAGTCCCAGTATCTGTTCCTGCTATTAAATAGCTTACAAAAGCTGTAGGTGATGACTCTGAAAATCTGAATGCATAAAGCACCTACCAGCACTTGTTTTCCAAGGTTTCTATGAATATAACAACTAAGGACAGTAAACATGACCTCATACATCACAGGTTTTAGAACAAGTGCTTCCTCAGCAGCAATTATATCATCATGAAATCATGTTCCACATTCTAACATAAACTAATCGCCATATCAATTATATTACTCAGTTATATTACTGAGATAATTTTGTAGTTTTGTTTTAAATAGCTTCCTTAAAAGTGTCTTCCAAATTTTTCACAATGGAAAAAACAAAAATTTCAATTTTTTATTTAATCCACAAGAATACCTCAAGCTTGAATGTTCAGCAATCAGCATATTAAACCCCCATGCTTGAATCTAAAACACACACAAACTTAAATAGTTTTCCTAAATATCACGGTTCAGGACTCACCTGTGGACGTGGGTGTCCAGTGACCAAACAGGTCAATTCTAGGGTTTCTCCTTCACGAATAGTGTAGACTCTTTCAGAGTAGCGCTCCTCCTCAATATTACAGGCCAAACCTGAATGCACAATACGAACCGTAGGGGGAGCTGTTGAGTCAGGAAGAGAGACAAGATACATAAAAAGATAAGTATACCATCTTCCCATGAATCATCCTCATTATAAAAGCAATTCTTATTAGATTTTACCAGAGTAGAATTTATCAAGCTTACCACTCTTAGAATCCCCAAGAGTTTAAAAATTTTGCTGGACAAAAACTTTGGAATTTATCTAAAAGTCATCAATACATTTTTAATGTGTCAAGGGGGAACAGGGTCGTGAAAGAAAACTGGTAACTCAGAAAATCACCATCATTACAAAACCACATAATAAAATTTGATTGTTAAAATTTAAGGAGTCCTTTCCTTTCTGAAATGCAAATTTTAATATAGTAAAGGATGTTGTCCAAATACTAGTTAGTGTAAATGAAGACTATTGGTAAGGAAAAAGGAATTTGAAGTGCAGACACTGTCATTTTTCTATCAATTTTATAAGCCCTCTGGAAGCTAAAGAATGAGAAGATTTAAATATCAGGAATTGCACACCATTTAGTTTTCAATATTTATAGATTACTATACCAATATGATCAAAAGATGATCATTGAATTAAGCCACTGAAGAAGTCAATAAATCATTGATGCCTAAATATAAAATTCTGATTCAAAAGAGATGTAGTTCTCATGAAGCTGACCAATATAAATAATTTTCTCCTATTTCAGTGTCCCACAAGCCAATAAAACTTGATGATCACCCATTGGTTCACATATCACTGGAAACCCACCATATGTAAAACCTTGTACTTCATGTCATGACAAACTTAGATAAATGTTTCCTGTCATCAAAGAGATTACCATCATTTGCTACCTTCAAATTGGAGATCATCACCATTTGTGAATGCAGTATTTTAGTTTATAATATAGTTGGGAGTGAGGGAGAAAGAGTTATCTTAATTAAAGGCAAGAGAAAAGGCTATATATACCTACAGGTAAAGAACAGTAGTAATCTCAAGAATGTCCTGATAGTAATCCCAATCTAAACAGCAGTATTAGTAGAGGCTGTGATTGCTTACACTTGAATGCAGCATATTTGGAATTCTTATTTTTTAACTTTAAAAGTATAATGAATCCTACAGAATTTGATAATAAACTGATTTTATGAAAGACATAAAATGATTATAAGTTCAATTTAAGGAAAAAAAAATCCTTCTGGAAAAAATTCGTGTCCTGAAAATAAAAAGTTTCCCCCAGCCCATATGCTCAGTGGTTGAGCATTGTCCTATGAACCAGGAGGTCATGGTTCAATTCTGGTCAGAGCACATGACCAGATTATAGGCTCAGTCCCCCATATGGGGCATGCAGGAGGCAGCCAATCAATGATTCTGTCTCATCATTGATGTTTCTATTTCTCTCTCCCTCTCCCTTCAACTCTGAAATCTATAAAAACATAATAATAAAAAAGTTTTCACTATGTTAAACTTTGTTTTATGTGACACAATGTATAGAACACTCACAGATTTCAATAATAGAAAATGGCCTTTTTATTATTCTTCTCAATTTCAAACAGAAATTGAAAGATAGATAGCTACTTATGGAAAATAAAACAAGTGGTTATTTCAATTTCTTTATGAATACCCAAGTAGAGTCCTGTTCTTCAGCCTTCAAATTTAGGATTCCACTCTTCAATACCCAGCATCAAATGACATGTAAACATTTCCAACAGTAGGATAAAAATGCAGAGTATGTTTAGAAGAGTAGTTCTTACATTCCGTATGCATAATAAACTCCCAGGAACTTGTTTAAAATACAGACTCAGAGGAATACACAGAAACCTGGTGTCATGTATGCATAAAACCTCAGGAATCTGCATTTTTACCAAACATCTGAGATAATGACAGGACAGTGCTACTTAGATCAGATTCTCAGAAATAATTTCCTGGGTCTTTTAAATATTTGTGGACTAAAGAAAAATACTTGAAGGAATAAAATAGACTTTTCTTTTTAATTTTTTCAAATAACTGAACTTCATGCTAAGCATCATTTCACTGGTTTAAAAAACTAAATGATGCTTAAATCAAATGCTTTTTTGGTCTATGGAACCAATTTATCAAAAATTCTCTACCATGTCTTTGGATGTTGTCTATACATTTCTTTAGTTTTATAACATTAGAAATCCTTATCTGTAGTGTTTCTCTAGGTGTTCTCATATATGTCATACAATGTTTCCTACAACTTACTCCCTAGTGATCACTTTTAAACTTCAATTTAGACAAGTGACATTAAAGAGTTACTTATTTTAAAAGATCTGTCTTATACCACTGTATACTCATTATAGAGGTTAGCGAACTGATGACAGTAAATAAACACTTGCAAAATATAAATAGAAAATTGTTAAATAGAAAATATAGGTCCATTACCTTGAAATATATATCAGTGCCAAATTCAGCTTAATAAGTGATAGCCCACGTTTATTAATAGATCTAATTATACAGGAACATGACATCCTTTCCAGACAAATTTATACTTGTTATTTTTGTTTTAATTTCAAGTCAATGAATAGTATTGCTATTTTAAGATATATCTTTCCAAAATACCATTATGCAAATAAGTAGCTTATTTAAAACATTTAAATTATATAGTCTGCACATTGTGTTCATTTACAAGGGTTAATTTTCTGCTACTTTCTTCTATATTTTAACACATTCTTGGGAAAGGTAATTGTTATATAGTGTAGTGATATTGCAGCTATTGCCTGTTTTATATGAGGATGAAATACTCTCCCATACTGGAAGTGTCAAACATGTATTTTTGCTCCTATGCATTAAAATGTGTGCTAAGTAACTCCTGCTGGGGGATGGGTTAAAAAATGAAAGGGATTAAGAAGAAAAAATTGCCAGCTTTAAAAATAGTAAAAGGAATATAAAGGAAAGCATAGGGAATATAGTCGATAATTACATATATATATATGGCTAATATGCAAAGTGTCCTCTCGGGAGTTTGACTGGGAGACCTGGAGTTCGATCGCTTGCTATGACGTGCGCTGACCACCACGGGGTAGCATGGAACATGGCGGGTGACTAGTCACAGCTGAGGGATCGAAGAAAGGAGGAGATGGGGAGGTGGGGAGGAGGGAAGGTGTGGAGGGGGGGGGGACCATGCAGTGGTGGTGTGCAGGTGGCAAAGGAAGGAGGAGGCGGGAGGCTGGGAGGTGAAGAACCTGCCAGGAATCGTTCCTGATAACTGGCCAGGCCTAGGGACCCTACTCATGCATGAATTTCATGCACCAGGACTCTAGTATTGTAATAACTATATATGGTGCCAGATGGGTACTTAGAATCATCAAGGTGATCACTTCATAAGGTACATAAGTGTCTAATCACTATGTTGTACACCTCAAACTAATACAATATTTCATGTTAACTGTAACTGTAAATAAACAAAATGCTTCTCGGAGAGGTGACCTTGGTTAAAACACATAGCGCTAAGGGGAGCAAACATATTAAGAACAATATGCTATATACTCCAGGTCCCTTGAAACATATGCAAGGATGGTCCGGCTTCTGGCAGTGAAGTTACATGGTAACTTGTATTATTTTTGTCTGAGAGAGAATATAACCAATTTTGGTCCAGTTGAAAGATGATCCTAAATGACACAATTTGTCCTGTAGGCCATTAAGCAATTTTGTATCTGACTCAAGAAAAAAATATAAATTCAATATACAAAACAATAATTATTTTTCTCTATACTAGAAACAATTAGAAAGTAAAATAAAAACTGGTATTTTATAATAGCATCAAAAATATCTGAGATATTGAAAAAATTAATAAAATTATTCAAATTTCTATAAAAACTATAAAACATTGTTGAAATTGATTAAAGTATACCTCAGTAAATAAAGCAATAGACTATGTTTATGAAAAAAAATAAATAAACAAAATGCTTACTCAAAATGTTCAAAATGTTCACTACTTCAACTGCTCAATGATAAGATGAACATTTTGGAAGCTTCCATTAACTACTTTGTTCTTCAGAAAAATCAACTTAAACAGGTCTTAGAGCTCATCCAGGTCCATGCTCTTATTTTCAAATTAGAAGTAAAGTCTGAGAACATTGAGAGAAAGCAGGGCTTGCTATCCCAAAATATGCCTTTGGGCTATTGATCATTGTAAGCTGGTTATTTTTAAGAAACAAAGACACAGGAAAAAAACTTTTTCATCTCCCTAACTGCCTAAAAGGATTTAGATAGAGTACCTGCTCAGGGAGGGGACTACCATCTAGATAACGTAGTGTAATATAAACTAGTGTGTGATAGACAGGGAGGAGCTAGCAAGACCTATCTGACCAAAGACCTCTGTGTCCCATTGTTAAAGATGGCCCAGAAAACAATTGTTAACCAAGCTTTTGCTTTTCAACCTCTGTGTGAAGTGCCTTCCTCCCCTTCGAAGTCCCAAACCACAACAATCCCTTCTCCTTAGTTAACTCCTTATCTGTCCTAGGGTCTCACATTCTTATGGAACCCTTGTGTGTACATACTTAATAAATTTGGTTACGTTTTCTTGTTAATCGGTTTTAGGATAATTTGATTACTAATACAGCCTGAGAACTTAGAATGGTAGAAGGAAAATAAATATTTTGTCCTCACAACTAGTGACCTGGCTACAGGCCTGCAGCTAGTTGTGTCCTAAATGAGACAAGAATCAGTGGTCATTTGATCTTTTCACTACTTCATGTTGTTAAAAATCTAGCCTGATTATAATTAAATTAGGGTTCCAAATAACTCCCACACTAGACTTAAACTAGACTATGGCAATAAAAAAAGATTGAGAAACTGTTCACGAAAAAGTTATACCACAACTAGATCAACAATATAATCAGTGTAATTGCTCTAAACTTAATCAATATAATGTTGTCCCCATTCACCATCTTGCCTCCAATTCCTGCCAAATTCATGAAATCTTACAACTGACAAAATATTTTGAATTTTTTATTCTCTTCATGTCTTTTTCCTGCCTTAGAATCTATAATGTCTCTGCTGACATTTCACAGAGTCCCTA